TGGCTCACGCAATCTCCACACGCGGGTCTATAAGCTCGTTCAACACGATGATGACCTTGCAGTCTGGTGAAGTTTTCCCACTTTGCAAGGTTTGCAAGGACCGACAACGATGTTTCTCCCCCCAAGCAAGCAAGAAAGACGTCTGACTTTTGGCAGTTTGGTATTGCTGCGCCCAAAAGAGCTGCAGCGAGCTGAACACAAATGCCTTACATGATCTGCTACGTGGTCAAGGCTACTTGCTGAATCCCCAACATGAACTTCCCAAACCTACAAATTGCAACGAAGCGGCGCCAAAAGCTCGTCTTGGTACTCATCGGACGAGTCCTCATCCTCCTCCTTGCGCTCGTTCTCCTCTTCGTGCTCATCCCCCTCCCTGAAGGATTAGGGGGTTAAAGGTCCAGGGTTTAGGGATTGGGGTTGGGGTTTGGGTATATACGAACAAGCGCTGACCCAAGCCAAAAGACGAAAGTAGCCTGTTGCGGTGGCGGCCCGATCGGCCCAGCAGTGTTTCAATCCGCCAAACTTGCAGGCAGCCAAGAAGGAGGTGGGCCTGCATTGCAACAACGTCTGCTACCTGACCTACAGCTGGAACGAAAGCTCCTGAAATTGATCGGAGGGTTGAGCTGCTGGTGATGATGATAAAGCCATGGTGGTTATGTGGCGCTGTGATGATTGCGAGGGTGATGGTGGTGGTGACAGCGACGGCGGCGGTGTTTTTGACGCTGATGGCGGTGATGGCGCTGCTGGTTATGATGGACAAAACCAGCGCATGGTGCATCGTTCAAACGGCTAAGCTGTCTCTGCTTGTAGTGTGGCGTCCCACACATCTTACACGCTTCTTACTTCGCACTCCAAAAAGGAACTTCAACCATCTGGCATTCTCCCAAGCCGCAATATGTCTAGCCTGGTAAAGAAATGCCAAATAAGGCTGAATTACAATCAAACAACTCGTTTTGCACCCACATGTGTTTTCATCCCACACGAGCCCCAGCATATATGCTACTCCACAAGCTTGAAGGGTACGCTCAAGCCACAAAACGCGACGAAGCTCAGTTTGAAGACAAGATTCAAACGAGAGTGTACGTAAAGGCTGTGAAAGTAGGATGTGCAATAGGTTGACAGTTTTCATGGTAGCGGAGACAATGCAAAGAATACAAGTAGCTGAACCAACCGAACCAGCCGATCCACGAGGCTTGGTAGAAAAGAGAAAAGACTTGAAGAAGCGACCAGGTAAGGTAGTTGTAATGCAGCTGGTATCCGCCCGTGTTTTCTGCGTTCTTTTCTGGTTTTTCAAGGCTTTCAGGCGTGTTGGGGGTTGGGGCGGGTTCCATTCCCCACCCCGCGGTCTGAACCTGTTCAACCCGTCGGAACTTAGGGTTTAGGGAACCTTTGTCATCAAAGGTGTCCAGAACGCAAATTTTAGGCCAGGAGGGCCAAGTTGAACGTCATAAACCGCTTCCTTTAGCGGCCTCGTTGGGCTTCAATATTTGTCTGCATGCAACGACCCCAACTTGCAATGTCCTGGAGGTTTTGGGGCCAAAGCCTCTAAGAGAATGTTGGGGGGAGGGTCCTTGCACCACGGGCGCATGGGAGCTGCACACCAAGTCGCTAATTAATGTGCTCCGACAGCGACTTGGTCATATTGCTGAAAAAAGCCAGCAGATTGTTGCAGGATTGTCTGCGTCCGAAAGCGACTAAAGCACTAACAGCAGTCCGCGAGGCTCACGTGCAACAAACAGGAACTAGACAAGTGGTAGGACACAGTGAGAAGTGTGTTGAGACATGACGTTTGGCACTGTAGAAAGAAATTGAAATTGAAGGTTCCCAAATCTATTTCAGCCACGTTGAAGAAGTCAGGCAATGGAGTGATTGGGCATCGTCGCTTAGCAATTTCACATCGTTCATGGATTTGTGGTTTGTTGGCACGTTTCGGTACAGGAAGCAGATCCCACAAAGATCCATGCAAACATGCATGAAGCAAGAGGTGGCATGAGACCTCCAAAATCTAACTAGGAAGTGTAACGGACAACGCTGGACGAAGTGTAACGAATAGTGCTGGACATGAAATTCAGCACAGGGGGACTAAACCGCAATGAATGGCGCCTCGTCGGCCTTCTCCTTGAAACCATGTGCCAGCTGCTTGGCTCTCGTAGCTCTGGCATTTCTTACCTTGGACACGGACAGAAACAACCATGCTAAATGCCTGTTGCCGACAACCATACAACGCACAAGGCCTCCAAAAGTTGCTGGCACTCCTCCAACAGCACGAGAAACTTCAGCTCAACTTCTTCGAACACGCTGAAAGCGCACACTCCCTGAGCAGCATGCGAAGGGGGGTCTTCCAAGGCATGATAATAACATGGTGTTTCACATTGGCACTGCGCAGGGGAGCATGATTCACTTCCACGTAGAGATCAGCCGCGTTGTCATTTCCGGCACAAGGCATGGCTGTCATCGCAACGCCTAGCTTGATGTCTATGCTTGTGAACGTCCTGTGACCAGAGTCATTCAGGGCCTCAATGCCAGCGTGTGGACGAAATGCCGGGTAAAGTCAACGCATCTATTCCTCCTGACTTGGATCTGCACATGCACTGAGAACGTTCGCGATGCACTGAGACATCCAATTTTCTAGATGTGTTACCACCGGGAATCAGGAACTACGACCTTATCAGCCTCTCGCCTGGAGATTTTGACATCCGTGATTTCCGGGCCGTCGCCTGCATCGGGATCACCCCCATCTGGTGGACCAGGGCCAGGATCACCTCCATGCTTTCGTGGTGGTTTTCCGCCATCACCGCCATCATTGTCTGGAAGAGGAGGATCGTTACCTTCTTCCTCATCCTCATCATGGTCTTCTCCTTCTGCAGGGTCACAATGCCCCTCTCGGTCTGCGTTTTCATCTCCCGTGGCCTGCAAGTTCTCCGCCATCATCCTCCACTCGTCGCGATCAACACGCAATCGCTGTTCCGCCTTTTGAGCTTTCTGCACTTCCAATCTCGCTCGGCCTCATTTTCCCAATCACATTCCTCGCAGCTGCTTGGCGAGACGCCGGTTCACCGTCATGTTGGACAACCCTTGAACCGCTGGTTGACGATGTGGATGACCTTCCCATCATCCCTAACGAGTTCAATAACTCATTCAACTGTTCGTCACGTACAGCACGGGCGTCAGTCCACGAAGGTGCATTTCTATCCTGCTGAGCAGTGAACGACGATGCACGAGGCGCAAAACGCACTGGTTCGATGAAAGCCTTGGTCCCACGAAGTTGAACTCTTTGGCGACTGGACTTACTTGACTAGGAGCACGTACTTCGGGGGATCGCACTTCGGCTCCTACCGGAAACGACGGTGCTTTATCCTTCCCTATGAAAGAAAAGAATGCGTGTTTATTTGAATTAAAACAACACACCTCTTATAATTTATCAACATTTATCTCTTTAGTATTTTTAGGTCATATTTTATTTGGTCTTTTCTTTATATTTTCTGACCTATAATCTTTTCTGGCATGCTATCTTAATAATATTTTCTTCTCTTTTCTTCTTACATCTTGGTCATTCATCACTCATTTCATTGGGATTCTTTCTGCTTTATTATGCGTTCCCAGCCCGACTCAGTATAGTCCTGCAAAACATTGGCACACTCGGGCGACACCGGGTAACCAAAGTCCTGAAAGGCAACCTGAGTGGGGATTGCCGAACCAGCGAAAATCTCCAGGTGCGACACCCCTCGTGGAAGTTCACGGGGCCGTCGCTGTCTTGTCGGGGGGATCTGATTCCAGAGGTGGCGGTCATGTGTACGCACGGAGGAAGTGCCGTCCTTGACTCGCCCACGCTGCTGCATGTTCATCACCTGAAGGCGTTGCCAGGAAGCCCATGGTGGTTCTCCTCGACAATCTCGCATCCCACGCCGTCCGAAACAGGGCTTGCCACAGCTCCGCAACACTTGGGACCTCGGGTTTTGTTGCAAAGGCTCGACCCCGTCGGCATTCACGAGATCGCCAGGTAGGAGTCGAATGGCCAGGAGCCCATCCTTGAAGACCAACTTGAGGTCCTGGCCCACGTCGATGATAAGCCCAAGCAACTTTTCGGCCTGTACCGACAATAGCAGAGGAGCGTCGGAGTCGCAGAGCTCCGTGCTTTGCAAATCTCCTTGGGCCGTGCCGCCATCCACAAGTTCCAGGCATAGGTTGAGGTGGCGGGTGCCACCGGTGGCCACACTGCCACTGATTCCACGTAGACGGGTCTCATCTAGTTGCGGCAGAGACTGGTTGGTGGCGCGGGTGTACCTCTCAAGCCAACGGCTGCCATGGCAAGACAGGAGGCATCCAGTATCCAGGATCGCCACCAGGTCACTTTCGGAGCTCATCACGTTCTCAAAGTCCCGGCCTTCGTGGAGCGCCATGAAGGCAAGGCGAGGGTGGTTCCCGTTGAACTGCTCCCTCTCCTGGAAGTACTGCTTCAAAGCCTTCATGTGCCGCCGGAGACGCTCGCTTCATCGATGTTTCCAATCACCCAACGTCGGTAGCTCTCGTCGTGGTACGACGTCGTAAGTGGAGTGCTTGTAACGGCCAAATTCACACACCTTTCACCTTCTTCCCTCGTCCTCGGTGGCATGGCCTGGCTCCGTGTCGGCGTGTTCACAGCTCCTGTAGTGGAACACGGGGGAGTTGCCGAACTCGCCCACACGGTGCTGGCTGCGATGGCGAGGTCCAATGCCTGGTGCAACTGCTAGGAATTGACCGTTCCGCCTTCAAGTCCTTGAAGACGCCTTTTCACCAAGTTGTCACACGTGCCAAGCATCTCTATCTCTATCACCTGTTCACCGCGAAGTTCCGTGTGGTCGCCGACGTAAGAAGTCATTCTTGGAGGCGTGGCAGGTTGTTGTGCCTGTTGTGACGCACGCTGTGCCCCCATGAGCTCTTGCTGAAAACGCTCCTTGTAGCCACAGCTCAAACATGTTCGGATCCTCACGAAACCGTTGGGATGCTACAGTCCTTGCACTTTACCTGGTGGTAGTGGGCGTTGGATCCAGCTGACGTAGTGCGATGATGAAGTAGTACATGACGTCCATGCTCCGCATTGTTCTGGTCTTAGTCTTGTAGTAGGTGACGTCCATGGCTCCCGCTGTGCGGTCGGAGGTGGAGCCATACTGAAGGTCTGGCAGTGGTGGCGTAGCGTGGTGGGCAGGTCCAAGAGCTTGGAGCAACTGATTCCACTCCTGGTCATCCGTTTCCATCGGCATCCACTGTCCCGGAGGGGCGAGGGCTTGGTCTTCTCATGGTTCTCATCGGCAGGGCAAGATTGGCTTGCGGGGTTCCGGAAGGCGCTGTCTCAGATATGGAAAAGTAGACCACGCGGGGTTCTGGCCTGTGGACTTACCCTTCCCGGACTTGCCAGGGGGTGAAGAAGTGCCCGCGGTGCTCGTAGAAGACGTGCTGGCCTTTGCGAATCTGCCCTTTTGGAGTGGACATATCGTGTCTCCACTCCCATGACCCACAGCTCCACAACGCCTGCAGGTTGTCCTGGCTTTCAAAGCCTGGCCTTCTTGTCATCCAAGCTAAACGAGCCAGACAACCCGTTGTGGAAGCCAGCGTGCCCCTTTTGCCGCGCAGCCTTGCCAGCGAAGTAGGCCTCTTCGTGGGCTTGGATCACTTCCGCAAGCCTCGGGATCCTCCAAGTCCAAGCCCCATTCCGCGAGGTACACGAGGTGCTCTTCGGCAAACGAGCCCACCTGGTAGTCGCCGGTCTCGTCATCTTAACGGTCCAAGGTAACCGGTGGGGTCGTCGTCCTGGTAATCGAGCTCCTCGGTGACGTAGTCCTCCTCAGTGGGATGTCCTTCGACTTCTGCTGCATATCCAGAGGACCGAGGCTTTCCGGGATAGTGCATCCCCTTGCCCTTCGGACCCTTTGGTAACCCTCGATGTGCTCCTAGTTGTACTCGGTGATCTCCAAAGGGCCGGCGGTGTAGACCTGGATGTCCTTGGGCTCGCTCGTGTATCCGAGGGTGCTGAGAAATCAGCTCCTCGGTTGCCTTGTCGAACATCATGTCGCCTTGCAGGACCGTTCGGATCATGAGCTTCTGGTCTTTGGTGAGCCCGGCATTGTTCAACAGCTGCTCCGCTAGGATCATGTCGGGCAACTTCAGCTCGGCATTCAAGTCCGTCATCGCCCGGTACCATGCTCGTTGACATAGGACAAACTGCCCCATCGTCTCCATTGGCTGTGTCGAGCCAAGCTCCCCCCTGTTGACGCCCCGGCTTCATGTAGTTCTCGGTCTTGCTGTATAGGCGCCGAGGTCGTGACTCGGCCGTCAGGGAGTCGACGAGGTAGGTGACACCGTCGCCGTCCTTCTCGAGCTTCTTGATGTCCTAGGTTTGCGCCACCTTGAGCACTCAATCAGTCGGAGAGATAGAGGCCCAAGCTTCTTCCGCTCGCCCTCGGTCATGCCGGCCTCCTTTCTCTCAAGAGCTCGGACCCGGAAGGTCGACTCCGTCAAGCGACTTGGATCGCCACTGAATCTGGGGATTCCGTACCGGCCTTCCGTCGTGGAGAAGCCCCAGCTGCATCCTCATCGGCGAGGGAGCGCGAAAAGTGCAGGCCATCCAGCAGGCTGCCGGATGCCATGGCATGCGCGGTCCTCAAAGGACCTGGAGCTCACAGCTCCACTACCAGTGCGAAAGCACTGGAGCAGAAATCACTTGTTTTGCGCTCGCTTGAACCACCGGTCACGGCCAAGCACTCTGTAGCACTCGGTCCTGCGGCATGTCCTGTACCTGCACAGACATCTAGCAGACATGTCTGAAGAGTGGTTTTCACAGCAGGGCTTGAGGGTAAATTGGAATATGAAGCCGCAAGGACGATAAGGGGATAACGGTATCAATCATTATTCCGACCCCGATATTACTGTACTTGTGAGAGCAACGTGATAAGCATTGTATGACTGAGGAATATTGAGGAACAGAGCCGCTGCATCTTCAAGCCTTGGTCTCAGCTGCGGGCCGCCTCGTGCCGCCTCAGCTCAGCGAACACATGAGTTGTAGAATTTGCAGTTCGTGGCTGTGGTGTAGATGTCGCCGAACTTGCTTGGGCAATGATGAGCGTAGCAATAGCCATTACCGCCATCGTACGGAGTCGGCTTGCGGCAGCCCCAGTCGGAAGCCTCCACCATCCCACCCTCCTCTTCACCCTCCTCTTGCAGCAAGGCTCCGGCAGCAGCCTGCAATTCCGGAAAGCGCTGCAATCTTTGGTGGAGTACATGATGGCACGAGTTCCCAGGCATCTGCTCTTGTAGCAGTAGCGGCGATCCGGCCCAGAGATTGGGAAGGCCCCACCACAGCTCGCCGTGACGTTGTCCTTCGTCAGCTTGGTCACCTCCTGGCGAACCTACATGGCATTGAGAGCACAGGCCTCGCTGCCCGCACTGTCGCACTCGTTGTCGACGTCCAACACATTATTGGCCAGAGCATACCTGGAGCAAGCGACATTGCGTCCGATGTCCAGGCTCCCACCATTGCAAGATGACGCTGACGAGAACTGGATGAGAACTGGATGCCGGGCAAGAAGTGCTGCGCACACATGTTGCCAGACCCACACACTTGCATGGATCTCATGATCCGGATGGCAGTCGGACTCTTCGACTCTTTGCCTTCTTTCTCATTGTCTTACTGTCTAGCTGCTGCATTTTGTCTGTGGGGCTCAAGGCTCAATGACATCATGTGACAACTGTACAGAATTGACATGTAGAAAGCTGGCAAGCGCTGCATTGAACTGACCTGTAATGACATGTACATAACTGTTGCAATCGCGACCGAGTCCCCAAACTGCCACAACTGTGACCCATGAGCGACTCTCTGCACTCACATGCTACAAATCTCTCTCAAGCGGATGCAGGTACGTTTTCACGAGAGGACAGGTAGATGAGTGCGCGGTCTGCGTTGGCCAGCGCACGCACTCATCTTACCTGCCTCTCCGCTGGCCCCCTGCTGACTGTGATACATGCAACGGCAAACCGAGCCCTTAGTTTCAGGGATGACACACACAAACACTTTTCGAGCTTTGTCCACGCTACCTGCGAATGCATGGCTTCTGCCTACTCTTCTGCGCCTCAAAAATACACGGCGAGCAGTGCTGACGGGGGTGGCGGGCGGGGGGGCGGTGCGTGGGTGGGAATCAGCCCTGCAAAAATAGCGCCCGGCAGCCCATTCTGTTTGTGTTCGACTGCCACTGCCTGTCTAGCCCTGAAAGGACACGTAGCGGCCGGCGCCTCGAAGGACGTTCGCTTCTTCAGCTCCGGCTTCTTGGGAGCTGGCAGGACGGGCCAGCAGTCGGAGGAGTTGCTGTTGAGTCGCAGCGGAAACCGGAAATCTGCGAAGCCATCATCCAGATCCCAATGCAATCCAAAAGCGAAGGTGCCAGTTCCTTTGAGCTCCAAGCCCTGCGCTGGCAGACCCAGCCTGTCTTCGGCTCTGCTGCTCTTTCCTCGGCACAAGCAGAGCCTGCAGGCAGTCGCGGAACTTGCTTTGAAGGTTATGTGCTTTTCGATGTTCTGACGTTTACACGTTCATCAGGTGTACCGATTGAGAAGAAATACAAAGCATTCTGTGGCAGCTGCACCTTCTTCGCAGGCACCGCGATGTCTGAGTCTTCCTCAGACCTGGAATTCTCAAGCACCCTGGCACACCAGGCGCATTAACTGAGACTCTACTGCTGAACCTGCACAATTTGAGATTGAGAGTTGGACGACGCGCCTCAGAGCTTTCGGAGCCCTCCCAAAGGCTTCCTGCCGGGAAATAATCTCATTCGGCCCATTCAAGACTTTTTTGCCTGGCCCCTGGCCCTGCCATCCCAGCCTGGAAAAGCTTACAGACTCCAGACCCTCGAGATTTCGGAAAACTCCCGGTCCTCCCGCTGCTAGGCACAGGGCACGCAGCGCCGCAGCGCTGCCGGCCGGAAGCAATCTGGGAGCGGTCTTCGGGGCTCTGGGTCAGGGCTTGAGCCGTTGTACGGCACGACTTGTCTTCGCTCTGTGGACACCGAACTACATGCGGGGGATATGGGATAACATTGGTCAGGCACAACAACGTCCTTGTCAGACATCGTAAGCAAACTTTGGGCTGCGGAGAGTTTCGGCTAGCAAATTTCCCCAAAGTCCTCCAAAAACAGCACTTATCAGAATCTACATGTTCCTCTCGTTCCCAGAGGGTGGTTCATCTTCAACGCTGCAACTTGAAGGATAACCACTATCCTATTCACCACAATTAGCACACACCTGAACTCAAGAGATCTTTAGTCTGGCGGAATTCCAGACCAGGCATTGGTCAGCAACACGAGCTACACGAGCACCACCGCAAAGTATGCCTTCACGAACATAGCGCTGAAAGCCACGAACATGCAAATGGCTGGTGCGGGCACAAACACATGTCAATGCAGACTTGGCCAAAGGGAGCCAACCTGGGCTACAGAGGTCCATCCCTTGCTGGCCTTGTCAGTCCGAAGCCGAGTCGCAGCGGCACGGCGGACCTTTCCAGGAGCACTCCAACACCTGCCTGGGCGCAACAAGCGGCTGGGCGGCTGGGCCAGTTTTTGACTACGCCTATCTCAGGCGGGGCGCGCGCGCACGCACGGCCCCGTGTCAAGCGGCTTGGCCGCCGAACTTGGAAAGCTAGCGCTCTCACGGGTCTCCGCGTCGTCTCACCCCATAAAGGATAATGGTGCCAAGGGCATATCAAAATGGCAGCTTCGCTGACCTTTGCGATCCCCCTGACAATCCGGAATCCCGGAACAAAGCTGAGCTCAGGACATCAGCCAGGCTCAGCTCAGTTCCAGGCCGCGGAAATAGCTAGATGATTGATGACGAGAAACACGACCCACTCAAACTCGGTCTGAGGCGCATGTCCTCACTTTAAAGCAGAAGCCAACGCATAAGGATCAAAACTCTTTTGGAGCATACTTGTCTGGCAACTTTGCGGATGCCCTCGCAGCCAGCAAGCATGCTAACCCAAAAAGCGGCAGGCTAAGATGCACTGGCAGAGCCCCAATTGATGGTGAGAAGCAGCCGCCAACCCGGGCCATGATCTCACACGTAGGCAGGGCTGTCTTCTGACACCATGGCGGGAAGATCTCTGCCAAGGCGACGTAGATGGTCACAAACGCTACGGATAAGGCCACCCGCGCCAGGATCGCCATGGAGATCCTAAGGTTCAGAGTTCAGCTCACAAAAACACCAAAGCGAAGGAAGAGAAAAAGGCAACTCAAAACTGAATTGAACTCGGGCTCACAAAAGCGCTGTCGACGGTGCCCACAGCACAAGCAATCAGGCTCACACCGGCCACGATGAAGCCCCAAATCTGTGCTCGGTTTCGGCCAAAGGCCCCGGCGCGGCTGGACAGCACACATGCAAGTATGTCGGAGGCGTTGATGAGCCAGGCGCTGAGAAAAGGATTTGTGGAGAGGGAGTCTGGGGAGTAGCTCAAGCCGTAGTAAGGGAAGACTGTGCAAGCGAAGCAAAGTGCTAGGTGACACAAATCTTGGTACATGGAGCGGCTCATGGTTTGAGCCTCCTCCAAGCCAGAGCTGTGTGCGCTGTGTGTAGGGCTTCTTGCTTGCAGGGCGCGGGGAAGAGAGCAAATGACTTTGAGCAGATCTGGGAAGGCGACGAGAAGGCCGAGAAGCATCGGGAGGCCGAACCAGATCAAGGCCTCGGGCCGCCAGTCCCAATGCAGAGTCAAAGTCCCACAGCTCATGGCCATCAACACAGCGACAACGGCATAGAGCGTGTTCACCATAGCACAGAGCTGGCTTCCATACCCTGGGAAGCAGTTTTGCATGTACATGTACTGGACACCTTGGATATTCAGGCACATGCCGTGAAGCAGCCTCACTGTGCAGAGCAAGGTCATGCTGAGCATGCTGACGTACGGGCCCGTAATCGAGGCCACGGTGAGAAACAGCATAGTAACACCAAGCAGGACTAGCACCTGCTTCAGATCGAGCCTTTGCATCAAGGGATGCAGTGCGACTGCACCAAGAAGCCAACCAACGAAAACGAAGGTCTCACTGATTTTCAACTGACTTTCGCTCAACGGCAAGGCAGGGTCCGCGGCAATCTTCCGGTCGATCAGAACTGGCAGAGCTTGCCAGGGAGCTTGGAAGGCCCCGAAAGCGACTCCAACACCGAAGATGATCCTCAAAGCCAAGATCCGGTTCTTCATCGGCTCTTGAAGGGCCTCCTCGAGGTTCTTCTCCGAAAAAAGATCCTGCCGGTTTTGGCCGCTCTGCGTCACCCTAGACCCCTCCCCCCACCCGAGCCATCCGAGCCATCTAGTCATCTAGGCCCCACAAGGAAAGATCGGACAGGAAAACTTCAGCGGAAGTCTCCAATCTCCAAGTCTCCTCCTGGTCGGCATTCCGGATGTCATCGGTCGACTCCAGTTGCGCGTCTTTCTTGCTCCGGGCCGCTGCGGCGGAGGCCCGGCGGCGGGCCCGGCGGAAGGAAACGCCCAGAACCCCAGTGAAGGCAAAGGCGGCCGCAACGGAGGCCATCCTTCGAAGCCGCCGCCGAGGGAGCGCGGAGTCCAGCCTCCAAGGTCGTTTTGAGCCAAAAGGCTAATACCATGCCGAACCCTGAGCCTCCCTCCAGGCCTATCTTTGACTCGTAGCACCGGCCGCACCCTACCAGTATCTACCAGTACTAGCACTGTTCCACTGCTCCGCAGACGTCTGAGTAGGGCTCTTTCTTGCTGCAAAGACATAAAGGATCATGAAGGCTTAATCACGTGATGGTGACCCTGGCAACGAGGTCGGAAAACGCGATCCCCACTGCTACAGAAGAAAAGATTCAAAGCCGCTGACGGGGCTTTGAGGACAGAACGAATTTTCAGCTCAGGCTGCCGCGTGCTGGGAACGTCTTCCAGGCGGTCCCACTTGACCTTAAGGGCTTCATGAATCACCCCGCTTTCCCGCGGGTGCGATGCTTCGCAGAGTCCAGGCCATGGCGGCCATGCACAATAAGGCTCAGACTATCTGCTATCCACCAGCTTAGCCGTCTCAAAGCGGAGCATCTATACTGACAGGGGCGCCCATGAATGAAGGTTGCGGCAACACTTCAGGGACGTACTGTAGTTGCATCATGCGAGATTGCCCATGCTCGGCCATCCACCCTGCAGACGCCCATCACGCTGAAGACGCCGCCATCGCGGAGCCTGCAACTTCACAGGGTTTTTGGAACTCGGAATGGACTGCTGTCGGTCGAAGAGCCTGAAGCCACACCTGCAAATCGTCTACGGCCAAATTGGCTATAGCCTCTTCCCACTTGTTGCCTGGTACACGGTTGTTAAATATGGACAAAGGCTCGCAGGCAATCGCCTCCTCACAATTCAGCATGTGACATGTGTATACACGCTGTTGGTCTGTGCTCACAATTCGCTCACTGGATTTGTGGAAGACGCTCCGTGCGAAAACCGATAAGCTGTGAGCCCATTTCAGCGTCGACGCTGAGGAATCACATCTCAGCAAATTAACAGCTGTACCAAATAAAAATGCAGGATTCGGCATCTTATTTACTTCTATCTTCATCTATGAGAAGTGCTTCAATGTCATTCTGCTTTACAAGTAGAACCTCCAGCAGATTTCAAGGTTGCTATCTGTGGTGGTGTAGTTCACTTTCTTCTTTCATCGAGATGCGTCGCCATTTCCTATGTATAGACACTTTCCATGTCATGTTATGGCCGCATCTTGACACTACAATACTGTCTTCTGGTCTTGTTTCTAAGGCCGTCCTCTTGTATGTGCAATTGCTGGGGGACTTATTGGTTAGAGACTGGGGACATTGAGGTGTCTCTGGACATGAGGGGTTTCTGCGGTGAAGGAGTACAGCAGCGCTTGGAGAAGCAGCAAGAAGATTCAATACAGCGAACATGCAAGTTGATGTTCGAAACGAATGAGCAGCGCTCCGGGTGCAAGATGCATCTCAGTTTGTCTGCAAATACATGTTGCCGAGTGCCAGATCCACATCTATTGCTGCACTCTCGATCTTTAACGCCGCCGCATTCTTGACGTGTCTTGACGACCGAGCAATCTGGCACGTGATGAGAAAGCCAAAGCAAGCTTGAAGCCGAGTGCGGCGGTTGGTGTTTATGTTCACTTGTCAACACTCCGCGCAAGGGCAAACATTTCAATCGATGACAGCTTGCAGAAGTGGCTCTCTCGACTTCAATAGGCAGCGAAAGCGACGGCAACGGCTACCGCAATAGTAGATCCAGCGTTGTGTGCGCTCAGCTATGTCTGGGTTTAGAGGATGTGCGCTCGACAGCACCGCCATTGTCTTCTGCTTCAACAAACCCGAGGAACCACAAAGCGTGAACATCCGCAAGCACTTTACTGCACCCAGTTGGTCTTTGTGATTGCCATTGTTGTTATGCAGCACGAACAATGCATATTGAACGACAGGCTCGGTGGCCAAATCACTGTCCACAAGCTGGACGATGCGCATGGCGGCCTGGAACATCAGATACCTGATCATCGCATTTGAAGAGGGGACATTCCACACCTCAGGGTCGCAGCAAAACGGGATTGAAGGCACATTGAACTAGGCCACCAGGTCTCCCACATGCTACCCTCGTTCCAAGCAGGGCTGGGCTTTGAACCATTCGTACATTCCAGCGTGGTCCCTTCGCAGTACTTCCCGTCTCTTCCTCCTATCCGAAGACTGGGCAGGGACATTGCCCGTGGCAAGAAGCGCTTCGGACCTGCCAACGGATCTACCGCATGCTGGGACATTCGCTGATCACGCTCCTGCCTTTAGGGCTGTATCAGATCCACCAGGAACCCCACCAGTCCCTGCCACGCAGAAGTGAATACGTAGAATTATCAAAGTTTCACCGAGTTACCGTCAAACTCAACCTGACCTTGCCTCTGTCTTTGCAGGCTCAGTGCACGTTGCTCTCCAGCTGAAAAAATCTTGTACCTAAAACAATGGATGCGAATAAGAAATATCACCATCACATTGTAGCAAGAGTTGCTGAGGTGGGTGCTGGCAAAATTGAGGACATGCGCATTTGCAACTTTGCTATCGAGCTGCAACAACAGTCAACAACTAAAAGGCTTGCCCCCGTCTTGCCAAGGTGCTCAGGCAAAAAAGTTCACTCCATCTCGGCCCGTGACCCGCAATTGCCTGGCACTCGGCACGACTGTCACCATGCTCCACTTCAAACTCATGCCCCTCCTCCTCAAGCCAAAGCAACCGTGAAGCTGGCCGAAATGGCCGGCCGATGAGGTCAGAAGATCGCTGTGAAAGCGGTCGTAAGCAGGACAGGTGCTACCTGCCTGGCTCTATTGAGGTGACAAGCCGATGCTTCATAACATGGCATGATTCGTTGAACGCGCAACCCCTTCAGGTCTTAATTCTCCATGCCAGCGGCCTACTGGGAATCCGTCACGTCTACCAGGGTTATACAAGCCCAGCTTAACGGCCGCACAAACTGGCGTAAGGACACGGGATGCTACTCTAGACGGACATGTAAATGAGTACGGCTGCGCAGCTGCAATGAAATGGCTCAGGCGCTTCTTGCAAATTGTTTTGAAGGGTTGTTGTTGCTTCTTGTTGTTGTCGTTGCTCTCAAAAGCCTTCAGGATAGGGCTTTTGGAGTTTAGAATTTCAGGCTTCAGGCTGTTATGGGATTTGAGCCAGCACATGGAGGCCGATATGGGGGGAAATAGCTGCTGGATCAGTGATCCGACGGCGGACGGGCAGCGATGTGGCAGACTGTCTTCATGCCAAGAAAACGACTCTTTGTGTTTTGGCTGGGAGGTCAATGGAGAAACGGAAACATGAGGTATGACAGGTATGATTGTTGAGCACCAAAACTGAACATCCTGTCTCTTGGAAGATAGACGAGCCCTGCATCTGCATTAGCCTACCCCAATTGCCTGAATTGGCCCCCCATTGGCCTGAACTCCGGACCAGCTTCCCCCCAAATGCACTGTTACTCGCCTCCTCACCTTTGCAATGCAGCACGTAGCGGCAGCACTGCATGTAGACCAACACGTAAAACTTGCATCCGCTTATCCGATGGTTTCGGACATGGACGCACTGCCCTCAGCGGCGGTCCCAACTACAACTCGCGGGTTGCCTCAATCTGCTCTACTCGAGATAACACAGCGAAAGAGTGTGAAAACGGAACCAGTAGCTGCTGCAACCGTTAACTGCATCGAAGCTGGAGGAGAGTCCAGAAAGGATCAAGAAACACAACATGTCTCCAGTCCAAATCGGCATTTTGCAGCACAGTTCTCAGCCATCAAATTCGATGATCTCTCATGGAAACAGCCCATGCTCCAGCAAAATACCACGAGACACGCCCTGGATAGATGAGATTTCATCTGGCGAGCCATCCAAAAGGCATACTTCATGGGCCAACAGACCCTGTTCCAACATTTGCTGGCGGATTAAGGCCACCTTGGACCCACGCATCTCATTGTCAGATGTGCCTTCCATCTGCGACAGCTCCGAATGGCTGTCAAAATCGGACTCCCCAGATAACTGGCCGACGCTACCAAGTACCTGCTCAAAGAAGTGCAGAGATTTTTCACAAGCCAAAAGGTGCTGGCAGACCCGCACGAAACCCTGCGTCGTGATGGTGAGCTTCACTTCTGCCATGTGAAGGTTGCAAAAGAAATCTCGAAGATCGTTTGCACGGCGATGTCCTCATCCAGGGATGGCAGTGTTCACAAGTTTACATACAACCCTCACGCAAGCGTCCAAAAATTGTTACGGCATGTGAACTCTGCCACGACTTCAGGAATGTGGATACTGCGGTGCTCCTACCACTGCTAATCCTACTCCCGTGCTGCTGGTGCAACAACTGAGCGACCAGCTGTGCCAGCAGACATGTAGTGGTAGTAGTAAGAGGTGGTAATAGTAATCCCTTCCCCCCGAACACCAAACACCACTCTAAGAACGAACAGCACTTGGCCACAGACCCTTCCGATATAATCCCTTCCCCTTAATATTAAAGGGTCGGGGCCCCCCCCCCCTTCGCCCTAAATAAAAACTCGAAAATGTTTTTATAATTAGGGGGGTGTTGTTATCTCAATTCCTAGAAACACAGGTTCTACAAGTAATTAAATGATGAAAATGATGACGATGAAAATGATGATGACGATTACGGTGATGCTTGTTATGATGAAGATGGCGGTAGTGGTGGTGATGGTAATGATGACGATGATCATGGTCCAGGAGAAGAACATGATGATGATGAAGAACATGATGATGATGTTGTTGTTGATGATAGCAATGCTTCATGGTTGCACAAGTGCAGAAGAGCACATGTGGCAACCTGCAGGTTCAACCTCTGCAACCTGCTGCTTCAACCTCTGCAACCTGCAGGTTCAACCTCTGCAACCTCTGCAACCTGCTGCTTCAACCTCTGCAACCTGCTGCTTCAACCTCTGCAACCTGCTGGTTCAGCCTCTGCAACCTGCTGGCTCAACCTCTGCAACCTGCTGCTTCAACCTCTGCAACCTGCTGCTTCAACCTCTGCAACAACCTCTGCAACCTGCTGGTTCAACCTCTGCAACCTGCCCCACGAAAGCCGGATGTGCACCCAGTCCCCTCTAGAGAGTCCCCAGAGAGCCCAAAGCTTCAGGCCACCCCAAAATCTCGATTCCGGGTGGGGAAAGGGCCCAAACGACGCCCCTGGGGATTGAGCCCGTGACCTTTGCCAAGAAGGCTTTAGAGCCGGACACTTACCCATTAGGCCATGGCCAGATAGTTTTTGGCAAGGTTGCGCACCTCCCTAGTAGTTTTGGGAGAGGTCGCAGGCCCAATTCTTGCGGTGTCATTTTGGGCCCTTTCCCCATCCAGAATCGAAATGTTGAAATGACCAAAAGCGCCAAGAGAGCACAACCACACCCGCCCAAAACCGCGCAAACCCACCAAACCTCTGCAACCTGCTGGTTCAACCTCTGCAACCTGCTGCTTCAACCTCTGCAACCTGCTGGTTCAACCTCTGCAACCTGCTGGTTCAACCTGTGCAACCTGCTGGTTCAACCTGTGCAACCTGCTGGTTCAACCTCTGCAACCTGCTGCTTCAACCTCTGCAACCTGCAGGTTCAACCTGCTGGTTCAACCTCTGCAAATTGCTGGTTCAACCTCTGCAACCTGCTGGTTAAACCTCTGCAACTTGCTGTGGATCAACCTCTGCAACCTGCTGGTTCAACCTGTGCAACCTGCTGGTTCAACCTCTGCAACCTGCTGCTTCAACCTCTGCAACCTGCAGCTTCAACCTCTGCAACCTGCAGGTTCAACCTCTGCAACCTGCTGCTTCAACCTCTGCAACCTGCAGGTTCAACCTGTGCAACCTGCTGGTTCAACCTGTGCAACCTGCTGGTTCAACCTCTGCAACCTGCTGCTTCATGCTGCTTCAACCTGTGCAACTTCAACCTCTGCAACCTGCTGCTTCAACCTCTGCAACCTGCAGCTTCAACCTCTGCAACCTGCAGCTTCAACCTCTGCAACCTGCTGGTTCAACCTCTGCAACCTGCTGCTTCAACCTCTGCAACCTGCAGGTTCAACCTGCTGGTTCAACCTCTGCAAATTGCTGGTTCAACCTCTGCAACCTGCTGGTTAAACCTCTGCAACTTGCTGTGGTTCAACCTCTGCAACCTGCTGGTTCAACCCTGCAACCTGCAGGTTCAACCTCTGCAACCTGCTGCTTCAACCTCTGCAACCTGCAGGTTCAACCTCTGCAATCTGCAGGTTCAACCTGTGCAACCTGCTGCTTCAACCTCTGCCTCTGCAACCTGCTGGTTCAACCTCTGCAACCTGCTGGTTCAACCTGTGCAACCTGCTGTGGTTCAACCTCTGCAACCTGCTGCTTCGACCTCTGCAACCTGCTGCTTCAACCTCTGCAACCTGCTGGTTCAACCTGTGCAACCTGCTGGTTCAACCTGTGCAACCTGCTGCTTCAACCTCTGCAACCTGCTGCTTCAACCTCTGCAACCTGCTGGTTCAACCTCTGCAACCTGGTGGTTCAACCTCTGCAACCTGCCCCACGAAAGCCGGATGTGCACCCAGTCCGCTCTAGAGAGTCCCCGGACAGCCCAAAGCTTCAGGCCACCCCAAAATCTCGATTCCGGGTGGGGAAAGGGCCTAAATGACGCCCCCGGGGATTGAGCCCACGAATTTTGCCAAGAAGGCTTTAGAGCCGGACACTTACCCATTAGGCCATTGCCAGATAGTTTTGGAAAGGTTGCGCACCTTCTAGTAGTTTTGGGAGAGGTCGCAGGCCCAATTCTTGCGGTGTCATTTTGGGCCCTTTCCCCATCCAGAATCGAAATGTTGAAATGACCAAAAGCGCCAAGAGAGCACAACCACACCCGCCCAAAACCGCGCAAGCCCACCAAACCTCTGGAACATGCAGGTTCAACCTGCAGGTTCAACCTCTGCAACCTGCTGGTTCAACCTCTGCAACCTGCTGGTTCAACCTGTGCAACCTGCTGGTTCAACCTGTGCAACCTGCTGCT